TTAACTTTAAACTTTGCACGTTACAAAGTCTTGATGAATTACACCCTAGATTCCTGTCACACATCGAGGACATTATTTCAGATTCAACTCTCTAGCAGTTGAAAAGATGATGTAGTTACTCCTATATTCATCAATGAAGGAAACACATGGCGTTGTACTTCTGACCCCGCCGATTTGACTAGAATAGTAGTTAAGATATTTGAGAAGACAGTTCGAACTAATATACTTAGTCAAGTAAAATCACACAATGTGCTAACTCCTAAGCAGCACAGGTTTCTGGAAAAGTACTCATGAATAACTAGTCTACCGATTGTGGGAGAGGATTGAATGGCAGCCCAAAATGGCTGTTTTTCTGTTATTCATGAGGCTTGCCAAAGGATTTCATAATGTGTCTTTCATGGAGATCATGTCAAAGCTCTCGAGGTTTGAGACAACAAATGTCATACAACAGCGGATAATATACTCCCTCTAAGGAAAAAGGCATAGGATGAGTGCGAACGAGGCTTTATCTGAATGAGAACAGGTTAAAAAGTGGTATAACGTGAGACCCCATCTTCGGTCACTTTTTTCTTCAAGTAAATCATGAAAACTACTTACATCGTCGATACTGTTGTTTTGTGATGATGTCATGATCTGATAAACAATTAGTAGTGATACTGATCGGCCTGATTTTAAGCTAGTCTAGACGAACTAGTCAGATGGTTACAAAGTTGGGACTTTGAGACTAACTTTAGAAAGAGTACGCCACTACACACTGGATACGTTAGTGGTTACCAGAATACTGTCAACAGTAAATGGCTTCCACGTGTGTAAAGACTTAGAGTTAGTTGTAAGTCATTACTTGAAAGCTGCTGCAGATTTCAATACAGCAGCTGTCAAAGGTTTGGAACTGTTATGTTCCCTTCATCGAACATTCAGATGATTTGACGAGAATACGTCTAGGGTTGTATAACTCACCTATGCACGACCTCAATCAGAGTATTACGTCCGTGCAGATGGTCCATGTTTGATTAAGCATGTTATCGTAATGGATCGTGTTCAACACGTGTGAACGAAGTTGGTGATAATTCTTTACAAGCTCTCCTACTATGTGCGTTAAAAAAGCCTAGACATTTTCCTTTTACCTTATTGTATGGGTACTCCGTATCTTATGTTACGGTTTCGGTGTTAACATGTCTTACCGTTTTCCTCCCTCCAGCAATAATCATCTCTGAGGTCACTGAAAGGATTTTCAAAAACAACGATCAAACAAACTTGGGGTGGTCAACTAATGGAACGTCCCACCTGTTTAAGTGGATCGACCCCACCAGTCAACACACTCAGTGAGGAGCTGGATCTTAACTCGAAAGCAAGCTGCAAGGATAAGCACTGGTAAAACAACCTTCTACCACTACTACTACACCTATATCAATACATGAAATTTTGCTACGTTCTTACTCAACCAAAGTACCATTTTGTATCTCAAGAATCTGACCTAAGTTTGGCGTTAGACAGACTATCTTTCTTCAGTTTTATCCCGGTTAATAGTCAAGCGTGGTTTCACCTTAGCTTATTATTCAGCTTTTACGGGGTTTTTTTTACGTCGGGAGGCTAGTTTTGTATACTTGAAGTTTTTATCCTACCCATTGTTATCCGTTTTGAGTATAATGATTTTTTTCCACAGTTATAAACTTCTGTTACAACTTAATTAACAAATTATATTTCACAAAACTCAGTAAGAACACATGTAAGTGACGTGAATTCCATTTTGCTATCACCTCTGATATTTGGTAAGACAAATGCAAAGTGTGGCCTCCCAAATCATGCATATACATTACAGCGATTGCTTACAACAGACTTCGCAAGTCAGATCGCATGTTGGTATGTGGTATATGCAGCATAAGCGCCAAGGAATTGAAGAGTAATATCGTCATTACCCTGAAGTGTCCTCAGAAAACGTCTTCAGCATCCCTGCAGAAAGATAGTCCTGAAATGAGTAGACCATCAGGAACGTCTGGTGAGGTGAAGAAGAATGTTTTCAATATCATAAGTGTTGATGGAGCAAGCATTTACGTCAGTAATGGCATGTTGAAACTCAGGATCTCCATAGCATCAGCGATGCTAGATACTCTCAATGAAACTGTCCTTTATCACGGACCTTCCGAATGCAACTGCTGTCCTCAAAACGTTAAGTGTAGGCAACTGGAACCCGTCAACAGGGTTAGAAATAATTGAAGGCCACCAACAGCTAACAAGTTGGCCGTTCAGTCTACCACTTAGCTTTTTCAACCAGTCAACAAGAGGGACGGAGATCTGGGCAACTATCCAATCACCAAACTAAAAGGAGACCAACCTCAACATACCCCAAAACCTGGGAAACCAATGAAGGTTCGAGATGGTACCTTTATAGTCATGAACCCTGAAGACATCAATGACTTTCCTCTCAGTCTACAGGACAGAAGCGATATGATACCTAGGAAAGAGTTGTAGTGGAGGCGAAAAAGTCCGGAATTTCAGCTGCTCATGATTACACGGCTTACCTCCTCATACTCTCAGGTAGCGGCTTCCATTCTCGAAGCATTTCGTGCCAGTGGGAACTGGCTGCCTACTGAAATTCACATGCACCCGGCCAGGCCACAAGGTGAAGGGATTAAACTGCAAAGCGAAGCGGAAGTGACTATTCCACTTGTGGACTGCCTGGAACGAGAAAAGAATGTAGAAGGGACAGAGACTAACCACCTGGAAAAACTTGTATAGGTAGGTTACCTATCCATTCACATAAGGGTCATTCGGAAAAACAGCATGAGGGCAATGGCCTATGTACGAATGCTGTGAATTCGCTTTGACTGTGCACCTCTAATAATACCCATCTGATAAGAATATCTGAAATATGGGCGTCTTCTCAAATTGCGAATTAGGAGCTGGCAAGAACCAGCATATCTTCGTTTCACAGTGACAGAAATGCTAGATTGGAGAGCGAGGAAGCCCTGTATTTGCGATCATGTTTGGTAGCACATCAAATGCGTACCCAGATTAACCAGTCTCGATGAACCTGTACGGTGCTCAGTGGGATTGCCTAACACCTCGAGGTGTCTAGTTGGAGACATCTACAGGAAGCTCACTGCTGACGCCAGGTATGATAATAGCATGCTGGAGGGATTATCTTTCTCTACTCATCTCGGATACGCTTAACTTGGTTCTAGGAGAACTAAATCTTCCTGAAGTCAAGTCTGAACACATACGTTTGAAAGGATAACCCTACTGAAGCTCGGTCCTTCATGTTCACTGAAGATCCTTCACTATTCCGAAACCTCAAGTTAAAAGCCTGGTGTAAAAACACTCAGAAGCCGTCATACTAACAGCGAATCTTTACAAAGTAAGAATTCTAAATTGCTGACGTCTCGGTCCTGGCTCCCTAGGAAAAATGCAGCTTCACTTGGTGTATCCGTACTTTTACATCCTCAAAGCTCTTAAAAGGGTCATTCAAGTATGTCTCATCAAAAGGCTCAAACTATTAGGTACCAATTCACCAGTAATTGACTGGTTTGCTTCATATATGAATACTCGGCTTCCTAGCGTAAGGATAAACTCCACTTTTTCTCGGATAACGAAATGTACTAGTGGAGTCCCTCATGGTTCGGTACTAGGACCTCTTCTTCCTAATTTTGATCATTGACCTTCTTTGGCAAGTGTCACCCTATAAATTGCTTTTCACCGACTATGTGAAATGTTGGAGGGAAGTTTTCGATAATCTTGTACTTCAGATGGATCTGACTGAACTTCAAAGTTGGGTGGATGTCAAAGGACTTACATTTAAGATTTCAAAGTGTAAAGTAGTCCATCTGAGATATACTGCAGATCGCGCATGCAACTTAGGTAACTCTCCCTCAGAGTTAACCTAATCTAAAAAAGATCCAAGGGTTTTGGTACCCAATGATCTAAAGTCTAGCAGCAACTTCAAAAAAAATTCCTATGGAGCTAACATAACACTGGTAAAGTCGCAAAACATTTTTGTGCCGATTGACGGAAGAACTTTCAACTTATTCTTCATTAGTTTTATTAGGCTTCATTTAGAGTATGGAGTTACAGTTTTTCCTCCCCAACTCCAAAAGGATAGGAATACACTGGAACCTATTCCGAGGCGAGACACGAAATCAGTCCTACGACTTTGTAGACCATCAACGTTGATGATCTATGTCGAATGATTGGAGGCCTACTCGAGTAAGACGGGAACGGTGTAACGAACAAGCTAACTTCGAATTCATACCTCACGACCAGGACCTTACGTGGATTGCCCCATCAACGTATCAAGGGACCATGGATGCTCTGAAGACTGTATAACACAAGGGATATTATCACAGGAATATATTAGTTAAAGTAGATACAGGCAAAAGTAGAACCACTGCCGCATGGGCCAGTCCATGACGTTTGATTAACTGATGCGCGTTGATTGCCCTTGAAATTGACTGGGATCGATGATCTGTTTGATATTTAGTGGCTCAACTGCCGGAAGATTCAGCTAGGGTCCAGTGACATTTCACTGGCCCTACAACTTAAATTCAAATCTCATGAAGATCGCCTCATTAGAGTATAGGCGTCTCAGGGGTGACCTTGTAATGACTTATAGTATCCTAAACAGTCCTAAGTACACTCTAAAATACTTACTTAGGCTCAGATCCAACAAAACACATTGAGGATAACACCCAGAAACTAAAAATGCAACAGCAGAATGGACTGTGGGCACACCCTTACCGTCTATGAATCGCTGGATTCTGGAATTCACCCTGGTTGAGGTGGTTCAAGAGACTTATCAGGAGTCCTTAAAAACGAAACGCGACATATTAATAAGGACTCAGGATAGTATTTCACTAAATATACCTAGGTCCCTCCCTACCTGCTGGAGTCGGTGATACACTGATCCTCGATACGAAAGCCCATTGAGCCAAAGCTCTTCCCATTTCATCAAAACCACTTGACCCATTTGAACCATTTTATGAAAACTGAAGATTGAAGAGAGACTTGCCTTGTTAAGAAAACACACAAAGTTTAACAACGGCGCTACAATTCGTCCGTCCTATCAGACTCATAAAGACCGCGAGATTTTGTAAGCCTTCGTACGCCTAATGCTTATTCTTATCACAGTCAAATGTTTACATATCTCTATTATCTTGCTATAGAATGTTGGTATAATTGATTGTTTTCACGTTATTCTTAGTGAACTGTAACATTCTCACGCTTCTCAGAAGCACTATGATTTCCTGCAACTATCTACTTGATACCCGACTTTACAGTATCATATATACACTCGAACTTCTTGTCACTCCTCCGATTTCTAGTCTTATTAGTTTGTTACGACTCTTCCTACTTCGTATTCCACTTCCGGTTTTATTTTCGGATACATTCTTTATTAAATTAAATGGTTACACCAAGTGAATCAACAATTTTTCCACGTTCTGTATTTATTCCCACCCGTGTTTTGTAACTCGTGATGATCAACCAAATTCCACACTAGTTGGTGGTCTTGGATTATCATCTTTTTCTCCAGAATTACCAAGACTTACTGGTTCCCGCTTCAAGTTAGATGGGTTTTATACTTTACTTAAACTTTGTCGGTTGAGTACAAAAATTTACACCTGATAGATGTGTTACATTGTTTACTTCAGTCACATCTTATTTTGTAAGTTCACTACCTGTTGCTGCTCATGGCCACTGAAGAATACTAGCAGCCTTTGTATCTGCAATATAGTTAATTGGAAATTTAATCACTCGATGGATAAAAAGCCTTATCATACTCCACTAGACATCCTAAGATTTTTGGAGTAATTCGTGATATTTATTTCTTCAGATTTATAGGTAACATCTAGCTATGGTATAACCAAAGGTCTGTTTACATTTAAACAAATAGTCTAAAATTGATTGTCCTCTGTTGGTCTTATCTAGTATTGGCTAGTAGTGATAGGTTTTATTACTTTGGTCATACTTCGTGTTATCTTGTTTGTCCTAATATCTTATCTGTCTAGTCTGAGAAGCTCAATTTTAAAGAATGGTCATTGGTATCATATCCTACGTTGGTTCTCCTGTCTTCTAAAAAGCCAGTCATTGCTAATATGAAAAAAAACACAGCGAACTAATGAGGAATCTTATCTTAATCTCTGTAGTTGTTTTTCAGTAAGACAGCGCACGAATCGTTAATTGGATTCCAGTCCGTACACCTCGACCGTTGCTGCTACCTTGACGTGGTGGTCGGGCTTGCCTATCGTGATGAATCAACCGAACTATACTGGCTGGAACAATCGTTCCTTAAGGTTCTACCATGCCAGGCAGGTCGTTTGAAGGGCGGTAAGTCTAAAAGCAGCGAACTCAAGGTCCGAAAGCGAAGTCGTACTGCTGACTTTACAGAAGTGTGACGGCAGTAAGGTGTTTCCTTCAGATAACCAGCATAACAGCGATGCTGCTTTCCCGCAAGGAGGGGTGAGGTTAAAAAAGGTCGACCCTAAAAATGCACACTTCATCTTATCCCACGGATATCCGTCTCGGGCGGTAAGGTCCTTTGAAGAACGGGGCTAACACAAAAACTACCTGCAAAAAGGTGTGTAACCGACCTCAAGCAGTTGTCCCTTGGGCACTGCGGTCACGCGTTCGGCAATGATAGTTTTTCCTGACTTAAAAGCAGCACTTGACTCTGTAGAACAAGACGTTCTGTGGCAGTGTCTTTCATTGAAAAGTGTGCCTCAGAATTACCTAAACCTTGTGAAGGCCCTTTACTCGAACCCTACCAGTCGAATGAGAGCTTATAGAAAACTGTCTTCTGGTTTTACAACCTCAAGTGGTGTGCAGCAAGGTTGTTCACTATCTCCATCTTTGTTTAACTTCATCATGTACCTACTGCTGGAAATATCGCTCTCGTCGACTGAATTTTCAGGAGTTTATCTCCTACCAGGAGTTCCACTTATCGACTTGGAATACGCAGATGATATAGTCTTGTTTGGTGAAAACGCTGACAAAATGCAGTCTTCTGTTAGAACTGAGTAATAATGCCAGGATGTTTGGGATGCGTTTCTCCCCACCTAAATGTAAATTGTTACTCCAGGACTGACCTGCGTCAACACCTAAACTAAGGATAGGGAGTAAGGTAGTCGAACGCGTCGATAACTTCACTTATCTGGGAAGTCTGATCAGCCCTAATTAGTTGGTGTCAGCACGGATTCAAAAAGCTCGTTTGGCTTTTGCCAACTTACGTCACCTATGGCGAATGCGAGATATCCGTCTATCAATTAAGGGACGAGTATACTGCGCAGAAGTTCGCTCTGTTCTACTTTACGGCTGAGAAACATGGCCATCAAGAGTAGAAGATACTCGTAAGTTACTAGTATTTGACCACAGATGCCTTAGAAATATTGCTCGCATCTGCTGGGATCACCAGGTAAGTAATAATGAGGTTAGACGCAGGGTATTAAGGAATGATGGTAAATCAGTTGATATGGTCATGAATTTTCATCGACTGAGATGGTTGGGCCACGTGTCACGTATGCCTGAACACCGATTACCACGACGCGCAATGCTGACTAGTATTGGCGACGGTTGGAAGAGAGTTAGGGGCGGCCAAACCAAAATGTGGCATCAGTGCTTGAAGTCACTAACTTCTAGTCTGAGACATGTTGGTAGATGCAGACTATTTGGTTGGGGTCCGCACGACTATTGTAACCAATGGTTGGAGACTCTGGGTGACATGGCTCAGAATCGATCACAATGGTGTAGTTGTATACACTCTTTGTCTTCCCTTAGATCGTGTGGTTAAAATTGCTTCATATATTTCTACCTGTACTATATCCTTATATACAATCTTTCGTTTATGTATTACCACCACAAAATTAACTACTTCTGTGAATTTGGTGTTCATCTTGTTGTGCTAATGAGATATGACAACTTGGACCGATGCATAAATGTGCCTGGTCCTATGTTGTAGCTGAATGACCGTACACACCTGTCTTGTTTTGTAATTTAATAATGTAACTACGTCTTTAGAACCGTAAGTGGGGAACATCAAGTTCTCTGGTATCCTTAAGGGAGATCGTTTATGTGTGTCACATTAACCTAAAGGTTCAAAAATAACCCAGTTTAGTAACCATATACAGGTTTACGTTTCTGACTGTAAACCAGTTAAATGTTTTAATCACAGCCACTGCATGACTGTTTCAGAAACTCAGTACATCCATGTTACGGGATTGAAGAAATGTTCGTATGCCATTCAGTAGATGATACAAACTGTGTAAACCTCCACATTTCTATCTTAATTTAACTGGTATGTTTTTATTTGCTATCGTTTCGTCAACAAGTGAATGATTTCCTCCTACATATTGATAACATCTGCTTCACTCCATTTTAATAACTCATTTTCTGCATTAAATGTATTTCAGAATGTCTAATTCTACGGATTTTCGGCTACAAACCTCGGTATTATGTCACTCTTTCCTACTAGCTAGTACAAATAAACAAGATGCCAGTTACTTGACTGATTTAGTTGACAACTCGAATACTGATCTAACTTTAGTTCCTAATGGACAAGAGATTATCAAATCATTGCTTCAATTGGTCAGAGATTTTAATCAACGTTTCAGTCGAACACATGAAATAGAACCAGTCGCTGAAAGTTTGGGTATCGATTCCGACAAACCAGTTGATAAGACAGCTTTGGAAATATTCTATCTTGAAATATTAGATGGCTTATTTGAAAAATTAAACTGGGGACGTATTGTAGCAATGTTTGCATTTCTACGTATACTGGTCTTAAGATTATCCAAACATGGACATAGTGATGCAATAAAGATGCTTATCAAAATAACAAGTCAGTATTCCGATGAGAAGTTGAAGAATTGGATTGATCTTCATGATGGTTGGGTACGTCGTTTACCTTTACTTACCATATTCATTTTTCTTTGATCCAACCAAAATTCTTAGAATGGAGCCTTTTTTCTCTTAAAAGTTAGTAATCTTGTGGAGCGTTTGGTTAAGCCAAATCCTTGATTAAAGAAGACAAGTATCCTATGGATTTGGATCGGAAACTCATAAATTTCATGATTTGCTATTAAATCCTCTCAGTATTCCTGACATAACAGCTAGTTAATATAACTGTATATACTGTGTTTGTCTAGCTAGTCGACTCTGATTGCTGTCATTATTTTAACTCCATATTTGACTTTTTAAATTTTACCCAAATGTGTAACAATCTTGATCGATGCATACTTTTGGAATATGCTATTTCGTTTATTACTCACTTCCATTTGTTTTTAAAATAATTAAGATTTGTAGGGCTACAGTAGATTTATATCCTAAGAGTTTTTTTAATTGGATAGTCTTATGAATCATAAAGTACTTGTCCCATCTTAGTTTTCTCTGTCCCATAGTTAGGTGATTCTCGTTATATTATCCGAGTTTTTCTTAAACTTTTACAGTCATTCACCAGTGCGTAGTTGCAGCAACATTATTAGCAGCGGATGTGTAATTGATCTACTAGCTTACACTGAGAACCTTCAGTTAGTGAGTCGTGGGTTGGGGAAAAATAAGCCTATCGAGGTTTATATTGCCGGATAGCAATACCATTGGCTGTCATACGAATCAAATGTGCCTCGTACTCTCTTGCGAAAATCTGTTCATGGTAATCCAAAAGGGCGGGTTCAGTTTTTATACTAAAGTTTTTGTTCAAGCTGAATCCATTCATGTAGTAATAATGGCCAATAACCTTGGATTATACCGTTTCTCTGTGAAATGTTTAATCTGTAATACCTTTTAGATTTAGATATTGTAATAAGGAGACGAAGATTATTAGAATTATGTGATATATTAGCGCAATGCATTTCGAACAATCTGACCAAAAGCATACTTCTTAAGAACATTCATATATGAAAAATTAAAAGGTCAATTAAACAAGTGGAACGTAAGGGGAAACCAAGATAACAAGTAAAATAATGTTTAAGAATGTGAAATTCACCACGCTGAATAATAAAACAGTATTACCAGGGTTGGTCAAGGGTGTGAATAAACTGTTTTTGAATACAAAAGGGGCTTCAATTTTCGTATGACTAAGGCCTCAATAAACCTTAGTTTACGCCTTTAAACACTTGTACAAGCTAAAGAAGCTGAGCTAAAATCAATTTTATGACCTGTTTCAACCATGTATTTAGTAATAGAGGACGATGAATGTTTGTCATATACTCTTATATACTACTTATGTCGACATAAGTAGCACACACCACCGCGGGTCTCTTTATACTGCGATTTTTCCATCGATTTATGAATTTTAAAAAATAATCATTTTCCACTAATATTTTGTTCAACAACCTCATTTAATCATCAATAGCATCGTTTGTACAAATACGATTAATCCTGTTAGACAGGGTCTCTATTTGATAGTAGTCTTTGTCTTCGTATTACGCTATCCAAATTTATCAGAGGGACTTGCTGTTTTAAACCCTACGGATTGTTTGACATCATCACTGATCATATTCTGAGGCCATTTATGGTTGATGGTTTTTATAACATCCGATATGCATACACTTACTACAATTTCTTCACATTTCACACCAAATGACACATGCGCTCTACAACAAATCCCACGTTGAACGTTATTGAGATTGGATAATTTATTTAGTACGAAGTTAATTTGTCAATCATATTTACATTCGGTAGTTTTAATGTTTGATTGTTTCCCTAAAGAAGTTTGGGCCAGACCGCCGAGCGAAATGTTAGAGTTATTCTGATTTCAATCATTGGGGATTTTTACAAATATGATTTTCTTTTTCAGTATTCTGCTTCGATATTTTCTGTTCTAATTTCGATTTTCTATTACAGTCTGGATTAATCGAATTCAGTGGTCGCCAATTTGTAAATGATGGACAGGAACTAATTTGGAAAACACTACGCAATGTTGGTGGGCTTGCCACTGGAGCTGTTGGAGCACTGGGTTTAGCTGCTCTTGTCGGTTATATCGCAAATAAGATTTAATTATATGGCATTATGCTTATAAAATATTGATCGGGCTTTCGTTTATTAGTAATATCAGCAGGACTACCACTACCGCTGTTAATTTCTTTTTTTGTAATTACTCATCCTCTTACCACTAAAGAGGACAATTAATACCTTTTCTGTGCTTACATCCTCAATATGTGTTATGTGATTGAAATGTTTTGAAACTTTCCTTTCTTTTTTTCTCTGAGTTCATCAATATTTGCTTTCTTGTTGTGCCTATAATAATAATAAAAATAATGAAAGTAACAATCATTATTATTCTCTGTGCCTGACATTTCATCGTTTTATGTTAAAGTCCTTTTTTCACAAGTTTACTCGTCACTATTTTGGAGCAATCTAAATCACAAGTTAATGAATTAACATTTCACATAAAACATTGTAGATAGTTAAAAATAATAATAATTAATTGTTGTATCATCTTTATCCAAAACTATGAGTTAAACTGATACTGTTTTTTTCATTTTCCTTTTGTTTATAAGGAAACAAAATCTATTTCCCTGTATTTAGTATCCCCATCCCCTTGTTTCATCATTTTACATATGTTGTTTTCCTCTTAAATAACATATTTATCTAGTCTTTACATCATTTATCATCTAACATTATTGACATCATTGTTGGTTAATTTTTAGCGCCTTACCTTTACTACTTATTTGGTGTGTTGTGTGTATTGAAAAAGGTGTAATTTCCGTGTAATAGTGAAGTTTTATCAAATAATGTGTATGCAACACCTGCGCATATATATATGATGGTGGTTTCTACTACTGCTTTTTTTTTTCTGTGCATACATGCATTTATCTATTGAAGTTCAGTTGCTTTTGAGTTAAATTTGTTAGCTTATTTATTTTTGATAAGCATGCTTGTTTCTAAAGATTGGAGAATGTATTCTGTACACATTGGATATATATGGTGTTATGTATTGCACTTACAATGGTTTCTAAATTATATAACATCCAACTCTACCTACTTCAATAGATTCTTAGCCAATGTAATTTTTGTTAAGAGATGGTTGGTACACCGTCATGTTTGTACAACATTAAACATTGATTACTGAATTCTTTCGAATATATGGATGTATGTCATCCATAACTTAATAACTTGAGATAAAGCATTACACTCTACTATATACTGTGATGACTGGCCAGATTCGTCCAGAAAAGCTGACATAACTAATTACAAAGCAGAGAACTTAATTATTCAACTAAATTGACATATTTATTACTAGTTACATGTGCCTTAAGTTTTATTTACTTATTATGCAAGGAAATCTAGAACCTGACAAATAAATGATGATAGAATTACTTTAAAGTGATCTTGGGATTGTTTCAATTTTACTGTGGTTTGTTTCAAGTATTGACTCGTATTATCTATTATATATCCCAAAGGGATGTTAATAAGTTTTGAAAATATGGTATACGAAATCATAAGTTTAAGTTTTTGCTCCTTTTTGTGAACTGAAAATTAGATTTTAAACAGTAGTCGTCTGTCTAATGCGAAGTTATTTTGGTTTATATACCAATTCAACCTTTAGTCAGGTTCACAAAACCATTGTTAATCCAGTTCTCCTCTTCATGTAGAATAAATAACTGATAAATTAAGATGCATCAACACTCCACATGCTTCTGATATCACCCAATTTCATGGTACTCCCAGTACTGTTACTTATTTCTTTTTTCTAGCACTAATGTAAGGTAGGACATTGAACATTTTGTTCTGCACCTTATTTTTAAAACTTTCTGACTTATATACTGAATGGATTAGTTCGCGGAAAAAATAGTTGATCATATTAGATTAGTGATCTCAAGTGGTTACCAGTTTGTGCTCTTTCAATTGTTTACATCTGAATGAAAAGTATGAGCCCTGTGAGTAGGTGTCAGTCCGTCAATCACGTTTTTATTAAAAGCTCTATAACTTGTTCATTCATATAGTTTTATAGAGTTATAATTTATGCTTATTTGCATTTCCTACTTTGAATTCGCACACTCAAAAATAACAGTTCCCTATACTTGATTCATAATTAAATAACTAAATTTCAAGAATCTGTTAACATCTACATTTTCAAGTGTAATTTGATCAAGGCAATAGGATGTGACAAAATCACTTACATGTTGACTTCAATTAGTATGACCTCAGACGAGTAATAAGTTTTACTGATCAGTAACTTAAACCTGTCATTTTAATGAACAATTATTTTATTGATCAGAGGGGGTTTTGTGGAGAATTTAGTATTTTCACAGTTGAGACTGGTAGGTCCTGGGTTCGAATCTCGCGGGTGCGGGATCGTGGATGCGCACTGCTGAGGAGTCCCATAATAGGACGAAACGGCCGTCCAGTGCTTCCAGGTTTTCGATGGTGGTCTAGCTTCAATTGACTCATGATTTCAACTGTGAAAATTATTTTATTCACATATATTGTTGATAATTATATTAATAACCAAATAGATAATAGATTTCGATGTTACGCAACCCCTTTTACTTCGGCTTCATTCACTAATTATATTTACTAGTTTATCTTCAGATAATTAAAACAACCTATTATGTCATTGCATAAAAATAAAGAGAATTCGGCGAAGTAAATTTTCTTTTCGACGAAGTCACTTAAGCTGTACATTCGTATTTATAGTTATATGGAAAAATATATCTCTATGTATAGAAATTCTCAATATACTAAATTTCCATGGACTGATTTTGTAATAATTCATTTGATATTTTCCTGGATTCCACTACTAGCTACCATCTATTTTTGCTTATAATGCTTGTGATTTATAGTTTTTCTGAAGAACAACGATTCATAAGACGAATTTCCACATTTCATCTCGGTAAATCTACTATAATAATATTTTATTTTACTACCTGAGTGATAGATCAGAGGCTTATAAAAACAGTCTTAAGTTATGTTGATCGTGTAGAGTCTTATAACAACTATTCAAATGTTTAAAATGAATTAGACGCAGTAAGTTTCAAAGATCTAATCTAATAATCAAGACAAATGAATGAATAAACGTCCTAGCCATTAATCCAATTATTTTAATAAAAAGAATATTATTGTTATCATGAGTATTATTACTTGTACAATGTGAAGATACTTTCAATATTGAACATCTGACATACTAAGATATATTCATGAATGTGTAAAGTATGAATAAATGCAGTTTAAAAAATTAATGTATATTTTATACTGAAAATTGATGTTATGTTATTTATATTACTTAAATAATCATTATTTCTGCATCCAATTGTATAAATAAATTACAGTAATACAGTAAGTTATTTAATAAGCAGAAAATAATGATAATAAGAGTATATCTATATATATCAGTCAGTAATGTCTGCCGCAAAATATAAGACTCCATGTATATACATAAAAAATAAATTTTTGTGAAACAATGAAATTTTCGTTTTTCTTTTTTATATCAACGAAACATAATCAAAGAAATTAAATCCAGTTGCGAAGAAAAAAGATAGGAATGATAGAGTAGAAGAAGAAAAGGGAAAACAAACAATAAGTAATGAATGCTCTCATTTCGGTTGGCATGATGTTATTCTGCAGTTTAGTTGGTTGAAAGACAGTACTAGTTTGGATATATATATAACATAGGTCTTCTTAACACATATCATTCTATCAACAATGGTTTAAATAAACATTTAAAAATTATAAATAAATATGCAAAATGATTAAAATAGATGTCAACAAATAAGATCAGTTTATGCATAAACAAGAGTTAATGTTTAAAAAGCAATTATAAAACATTATTACTTATAATTAGTATATCAATATTAATACAATTATGATATTAAGAGTATACACTAGAAATATATATATATATATATATATATATATATATATATATATATATATATATATATATATATATATATGGGTTGGAGAATGCTGGTCGGCGGCCTATACTCCATTGGGAGTAACAGGCGTAAGTAAGTATGTATTATCAGATAACTGCCTTAGAGGTAGTTAAATGTATATCAATAATCTTCCAAGTGATAATAATAATAATGACGATTTTAATCGAATGAATAAGTATAAAATAATCAAAATGAAAATGGAATAAAAACACAAAAAAATTATTAAATATTAATTATCCTATATACTTTTCATGTTTCTGTTATTGGTCAATTTTGTTACTATGTATATCTTATGTAATTGATGTATGTGTACATTATTATTAGTGGATAGATAGTTAGTTGTCTTAATATTCCTAAGTATTAACATGATGAATTTCTTGTGTGAAATTTTTGTTTGTTTTAATTTTGAGGTAATTTCAATAAAATATTCACCCAATTTCTGTTTTAATAATAAAATATCATCCAGAATAATGATAGAATAAGGCTAATATTGATAAATAAAGTTTTTTTTTGTTTGGAATATATCTCACCTACATAGATTGATGCAGATAAATTTTGTCAACAAAATAAGGAAGACAGTTGAAAAGTGTTTATCATTAGTTGATGAATAATTTTCATGGTCCCTGTGAATTGTTTACAGGAGAAAGGTGTAAGGCATGAATATATATATTTATATATTATCGGCTACGTGGAACCGATCCATTCAATGAACTACTAGTAACAGAACCAGCAGTATTTCCTATTGAATCACAAGGACTACGAACTTCTGATTTTAAACGAACAAATTCACGAGCTATCTCATCTTGAGGACGTTGTGATAATATACGTAGTATAGTCCATCCAGTATCGTCAAGATGTAATCTTTTTCCCAGACTACAAATACATGCACATGCACCACTTTGACCAACACCAGTTCGACCATCTCTTGAATTAATTGTAGGTGAAGCATTTAGATCAGTTGTTGTTGCTAAATCACGTAGTTGTAATACAGTCAACCCAATCAATCGATCTGTTCGACCGAAACAATAATCTTTGGCACACATATGTAATTCATAGGATTCTGGATCAGAACCAGCACTGAGAAAGCTAGAAATTTTGACAAAGAAAACATAAAAAAACTATTGTCATAAAATTATCGGGTTCGATTCCTGGATGCAGGGTTGTAGATGCGCGCTAACAAGAGGTCCTATACTAAGACAAAACGTCCGCTCAGTTCTCCCAGGTTTTCAATATTGATAAAATTCGATCCGTTTGTGATTTATAAACTGAAAACCCTATAACTTCCATAAAACTATACAGACCAGAATGAAACTGCTTCACAAATATTAGGATAACCTAAAATTATATATGACAGATGGCAATTAGTTTGAGTCGGTTGACAATAAATCTCTTGCAAGACAGGCACCAGCTGGAGGATTTTGGAAAACAAGATACATTAAACAGTTATTCTGTTCAGTTTACTACTTAGAAGTGATAGATCAACGACCTCACATTATATTAGAAACTAAAGCTATACGTCTGGTAAGTATGATACGATTTAGCTACTGAATCCAAACAACTGTGTTACTATGATTAATTACATTATCTTTAAGAGAGATAAGTTATTTACTGGTTAATTTGTTCACTTGTTACATGAATGTATATCACCAAAAGGCTTTTGTTATCAGTTATACATAACTTTGAATTTCTAAGTGCCTTTTTGAATACTCGGTAGAGAAATTCATTTATGTGGCTTCAGCTTATATTGACATTTAAATTTTTTGAGTGGTCGAGGATAATTATTTAGACTCCTTCATATGATCTCGACATTATTTCTGGACACTTATTGGTAGATCTAAAAATTCCGTTCCCACACCACTATATATATATATTCCAGGTCGTACATGCTTTATCGTAATAAAGGTTGAAGATTGTAAATTTAGTGTCTTTTTAAAAGTATTTTTTAAGAAGATCACTTTGAAATAATTCGTAAACTAATTCAATAAATCTTTACGTTTCTAAAAATCTCTATTGTGTTTTCGCATTCAGATGATATCATTTTTTTCACAAACACGACAGGTCAACATCACCTGTCATTATAAGAGAATAGTTGTAAAAGATTAATTT